TGATGCAGAGAATAGAAAGATTTCGAAACATGAAAGATAGTTTTCTTGACAAAAGGTTTCTTGCAGAAAGGGGGCTATAGTTTCAAGGAAAAATGTTTATAAAGATACTATTGATTCGATTAAAAATGAAAGGCTATTGCATGAGTAACTGAGTTGATCTAGATGAATAAAGTGATGCAGAGAATAGAAAGATTTCGAATCATGAAGAATAGTTTTCTTGACGAAAGGTTTTTTGCAAAAAGGGGGCTATATTTTCAAGAAGTAATGTTTATAAAGATACGATTGATTCGATTAAAAATGAAAGGCTATTGCATGAGTAACTGAGTTGATCTAGATGAGTAAAGTGATGCAGAGAATAGAAAGGTTTCGAAACATGAAAGATAGTTTTCTTGAGGAAAGGTTTCTTGCAAAAAGGGGGCTATAGTTTCAAGAAGTAATGTTTATAAAGATACGATTGATTCGATAAAAAATAAAAGGTTATTGCAAGAGTAACTGAGTAGATCTAGATGAATAAAGTGATGCAGAGAATAGAAAGATTTCAAAACATGAAAGATAGTTTTCTTGACGAAAGGTTTCTTGCAAAAAGGGGGCTATAGTTTCAAGAGGTAATGTTTATGAAAATACGATTGATTCTATTAAAAATGAAAGGCTATTGCATGAGTAACTGAGTTGATCTAGATGAATAAAGTGATGCAGAGAATAGAAAGATTTCGAATCATGAAGAATAGTTTTCTTGATGAAAGGTTTTTTGCAAAAAGGGGACTATAGTTTCAAGAAGTATTGTTTATAAAAATACGATTGATTCTATTAAAAATGAAAGACTATTGCATGAGTAACTGAGTTGATCTAGATGAGTAAAGTGATGCAGAGAATAGAAAGGTTTCGAAACATGAAAGATAGTTTTCTTGAGGAAAGGTTTCTTGCAAAAAGGGGGCTATAGTTTCAAGAAGTAAAGTTTATAAAAATACGATTGATTCTATTAAAAATGAAAGGCTATTGCATGAGTAACTGAGTAGATCTAGATGAGTAAAGTGATGCAGAGATTAGAAAGGTTTCGAAACATGAAAGATAGTTTTCTTGAGGAAAGGTTTCTTGCAAAAAGGGGGCTATAGTTTCAAGAAGTGATGTTTATAAAGATACTATTGATTCGATTAAAAATGAAAGACTATTGCATGAGTATCTGAGTAGATCTAGATGAATAAAGTGATGCAGAGAATAGAAAGATTTCGAAACATGAATAATAATTTTCTTGAGGAAAGGTTTCTTGCAAAAAGGGGGCTATAGTTTCAAGAAGTGATGTTTATAAAGATACTATTGATTCGATTAAAAATGAAAGACTATTGCATGAGTATCTGAGTAGATCTAGATGAGTAAAGTGATGCAGAGAATAGAAAGATTTTGAAACATGAAAGATAGTTTTCTTGAGGAAAGGTTTCTTGCAAAAAGGGGGCTATAGTTTCAAGAAGTAAAGTTTATAAAAATACGATTGATTCTATTAAAAATGAAAGGCTATTGCATGAGTATCTGAGTAGATCTAGATGAGTAAAGTGATGCAGAGAATAGAAAGATTTCGAAACATGAAAGATAGTTTTCTTGAGGAAAGGTTTCTTGCAAAAAGGGGGCTATAGTTTCAAGAAGTAAAGTTTATAAAAATACGATTGATTCTATTAAAAATGAAAGGCTATTGCATGAGTAACTGAGTTGATCTAGATGAGTAAAGTGATGCAGAGAATAGAAAGGTTTCGAAACATGAAAGATAGTTTTCTTGAGGAAAGGTTTCTTGCAAAAAGGGGGCTATAGTTTCAAGAAGTAAAGTTTATAAAAATACGATTGATTCTATTAAAAATGAAAGGCTATTGCATGAGTAACTGAGTTGATCTAGATGAGTAAAGTGATGCAGAGATTAGAAAGATTTCGAAACATGAATAATAGTTTTCTTGACGAAAGGTTTCTTGTAAAAAGGGGGCTATAGTTTCAAGAAGTCATGTTTATAAAGATACGATTGATTCGATTAAAAATGAAAGGTTATTGCATGAGTAACTGAGTAGATCTAGATGAGGAAAGTAATGCAGAGAATAGAAAGATTTCGAATCATGAAGAATAGTTTTCGTGACGAAAGGTTTTTTGCAAAAAGGGGGCTATAGTTTCAAGAAGTAATGTTCATAAAGATACAATTGATTCGATTAAAAATGAAAGGTTATTGCATGAGTAACCGAGTTGATCTAGATGAGTAAAGTGATGCAGAAAATAGAAAGATTTCGAAACATGAATAATAGTTTTCTTGACGAAAGGTTGTTTGCAAAAAGGGGGCTATAGTTTCAAGGTGAAATGTTTATAAAGATACAATTGATTCTATTAAAAATGAAAGGCTATTGCATGAGTAACCGAGTTGATCTAGATGAGTAAAGTGATGCAGAAAATAGAAAGATTTCGAAACATGAATAATAGTTTTCTTGACGAAAGGTTGTTTGCAAAAAGGGGGCTATAGTTTCAAGGTGAAATGTTTATAAAGATACAATTGATTCTATTAAAAATGAAAGGCTATTGCATGAGTAACCGAGTTGATCTAGATGAGTAAAGTGATGCAGAAAATAGAAAGATTTCGAAACATGAATAATAGTTTTCTTGACGAAAGGTTGTTTGCAAAAAGGGGGCTATAGTTTCAAGGTGAAATGTTTATAAAGATACAATTGATTCTATTAAAAATGAAAGGCTATTGCATGAGTAACCGAGTTGATCTAGATGAGTAAAGTGATGCAGAAAATAGAAAGATTTCGAAACATGAATAATAGTTTTCTTGACGAAAGGTCTCTTGCAAATAGGGGGCTATAGTTTCAAGTTGAAATGTTTATAAAGATACGTTTGATTCAGTTAAAAAGTAAAGGCTATTGCATGAGTAACTGAGTTGATCTAGATGAATAAAGTGATGCAGAGAATAGAAAGATTTCGAAACATGAATAATAGTTTTCTTGACGAAAGGTCTCTTGCAAATAGGGGGCTATAGTTTCAAGTTGAAATGTTTATAAAGATACGTTTGATTCAGTTAAAAAGTAAAGGCTATTGCATGAGTAACTGAGTTGATCTAGATGAATAAAGTGATGCAGAGAATAGAAAGATTTCGAAACATGAAAGATAGTTTTCTTGAGGAAAGGTTTCTTGCAAAAAGGGGGCTATAGTTTCAAGAAGTAAAGTTTATAAAAATACGATTGATTCTGTTAAAAATGAAAGGCTATTGCATGAGTAACTGAGTAGATCTAGATGAGTAAAGTAATGCAGAGAATAGAAAGTTTTCGAAACATGAATAATAGTTTTCTTGACGAAAGCTTTCTTGCAAATAGGGGGCCATAGTTTCAAGGTGAAATGATGATAAAGATAGGTTTGATTCGGTTTAAAATTAAAGACTATTGCATGAGTATCTTAGTAGATTGAGATGAGTAAAGTGATGCAGAGAATAGAAAGATTTCGAAATATGAATAATAGTTTTCTTGATGAAAGGTTTCTTGCAAAAAGGGGGCCATAGTTTCAAGGTGAAATGTTGATAAAGATAGGTTTGATTCGGTTAAAAATTAAAGGCTATTGCATGAGTATCTTAGTAGATCTAGATGAGTAAAGTGATGCAGAGAATAGAAAG